AAGTTACTCAGAAAGCACTGACTTGCGTCATATATAGTATACATTTTAACTAAAGTATAACATAATTCAATGTCACTATAAAGTCCAAACATTATTTTTATTTTTTTTTTATTTAACATAGTTTACAATGAATAAAAATTGATATGCAGCATTGAAACATATAGTTCTTATGTAACTAAAAGAGAGAAAACGATGCTGGTGAACTAGATGGTTCTAGTTTTCAGTATCTAAACAAGGGCAAAAGAATAAATTAAAATGAATTAATAAAAACAAATATATTACTTTATAATAATTTGGCTTAAATGAACCAGCTTCATGAATATCTAAATATTTGCATTTTTCATCAGTTATAATTGCATTAGATGAGTATCAAATGTGGATAAGTGTAGATTAGTTACAGATGCATCTAAAGAATCATACTTGTGTTCCTGCTGTGATCATGTAAACAAAGCATCAAGGTTTCACGTCAAAAATCAATAGCCACATAACACGATCAACATTTATTTGAACATGTTCAATTTGTTAATCACTTGCTAATGGATGACATAAAAAACACTATTAGCAAAGAAAAAAAGACTTATTCATATTTATAAAAAAGGATACATAGAAAAAGTTAATTTCTGAATTTTAATATTCCATAATACAAATAACAATGTTCCATCTTTCATTTCATCTAATACTTCTGTTGCTATCATTTACTCCCAGATATTGTAAAACTAATATCAATTTGATTAATAGGACGTATCGTGCTCGCAATACACTACATGTATTAGATCGAGTTCTGTTGCAAAAACAAAACAACCTATACTATGTCAAGCTAAACAACATCCTTTATCAATGTTACCTAAAACAATCGAATGAAATTCATACTTAAAATATAAATAGATTCTGAATCGTTGAATTTTCACGCATTGTATTTTACATTTTAATACAGTAGAAATTGCGCCGACGATCCATATATTCTTTTACTTGATGCTTCACGTATTTCAATAATATAATGCATAGTTTTTGATGAAGCTACACGTAAATTGGCTATTAATGTATCCTATGCTATTGTTACTGTTTCCGGCGTATCTAGTGGTTCAATAAGTGTATTTAAATAATAAATGAATAAGATAAGCTTTATTGTAAAATCTGGTCGTGCGTATATATATTTTTTTGATGCACCAATTTTTTTTCTAACTCATTTCATGAATTTTGTTTGGAATCCCATACTTTAAATCTATAAACTGATACTACATCAGCATTATCTTGCTATGATGGTGTAGCTGGCAATCATATTAAAATTATTGATTGATCCTTTAACTTTTTCGATTCCAGTATCACATAATTTTGTTAATGAAACTAAATAAAATAGATTTTCTTTTGTGTTAAAACCTTTAACACAAAAAAATCTCTTCCTACTATCTTTGGCATCATATTTCATACATAGGTATTTTACAACATCTTTCTTTTAACTATGTTGTACTTTTTACATCACCTCTTTCAATAATATAAGTACCTCCTGTTGGATCCAATTGTATACGTACTATTTATCTTATAATAGTTTTAATGACAAGAATCTAATTCAACCCATTCACTTTAAAGGTCATCTTCATTTTTAAGGCACGAACAAGAAAAAAATAATTTGTACTTAAAGTTAATTCTTTTATAAGAAAATTATATTGAGTTGATGAAACGTTTTTGTTTTACTATAATCCAATTACTTTTAAGAAGATCACAACATTCGATAATATAAAATGAAGTTTCACTTGAACTCCTGGATAATGATGGTCATTATGATAGAAGTATTGATGTTTAAACTATAGTTACTATTTGTAATGACTTACAAGGTATAAATGAGAGTTCTAAAGAAACAAAAGAAGAAGGAAATATCATTTTATTTAATTAATACTTTAACAAAAATGAATCTATTGAGTTGATTATTTGTTGCAAATTATTTAAATTACTATTTTGTTTTTCTGGTTTAACTGCTTTTGTTGCTTTGTATTCAAAAGAGTTTGCTACTTTACTACAAAAATGATAATTGACACTTTAATTTTATTTTGTTATTCGAGAAAACTTGCTATTTTTGCTAGCTTAATCCATACTTGTACATATTCATTATTTTTATCTTTTTCTTTTTATCATATATTTCTAAGAAATATTCTATTAATGGACTGTTCACATCATTGCCAGACGTTTCCTATTGTGATGTTGTTGGTTAATCTGTTCTAGTTATATCATTAAATTTAGTTGGTAGTCCATGTACATCAATATTACGTTTTCATTTAACTGGTTATTTTAATTTTAAGGATTGACATTCAGAATTGTTTAGAAAGTAGTTCTATTACATAAGAACCTTCAACACAGTTTGTTTTAATTAGAACTCATGACGAATAGATCAATTTACAAACCAATGTTCGGAATGTCATACAAAACAATCAAAAGTGTTAAAACAAGCGCAAATGTTTTGATAATTATTCGAAAAGAGAACCAGTTTTTGTTTGATATTGAAACGTCTATAGACGCATTTTAGACAGGTATGCTCACTTAAATGTGTTTAGGTGTGTTTGATTAATTTCAACAAAAAAGCGTGGCTGAATACGATCATTCGTTGGAACCTGTTTTAACACACGCTGTTCGGTACACAAAATGAAGATGTTCATACCTTCAATGTATTTAGATGTGTTTGCCTATCTCGACGCATTTCGATGCATCTATAAACTGCGTTTGAACACATCTCTTTATTAGTTTCATCGTAAATTTGAAAAAGATTACGGCTAGTTTATCTTCAACGTCTTTTTTTTATCTTCACCAAAACTATTCAATACCATCTTTGAACGTGTTCTAACAGTTCGACACTGAAAATAAAATATATTTTATTGTGAATGACTCTCACTTGAGTATATAATGCAGTACAGGACTTATTACAGAATTGAAAGTTTTACTTATTTATCTAACTCAAGAATGAATAATGTTGATCGAAATTCTTATATTATTAAACCAACTGAACAACACTGCTTCAATATATTATTTGCAAGAGTAGTATAAAATACGTCAGATATGCTATTAAAATAGAAATTTTATGTTGAAAAAATTATTTTACTCGTCTTCTATGTATTTACCAATCAAAGGTATACGTTCTTATACGATCTCATTCACGTATTGAAGAAGATAAAAGTTATTTTAACAGTGTAATTTGTAGAGAATCTCTTTTCGTACAAAACTATTGTATTTGAAATCAAAATAGATTATATCACCTATATTATATAAGTTCGTTACACTAGGAATATCTGGAGTTAAAAGCTTATCGTAGTTCTACGTTATGTAAATAATGGATGAAATTTAGAACAATGTACTATGTTAAGTTTGGTTGGATAGATTCTTGTTTAGTGAGATACATATCCACTTTGTTGCTGGGACTACAATAAGCTGTTGTTATTTTTGCTATTTATAGTGTAACAAAGGTAAAGACCTTAAAATAAATAATCTGTTTTGATTTCAAATAATTATAAGAGTTTGGTACGAAAAAAGAGTTCCTACAAATCCACGTAAATAAGCCAACATAAGATCGTTTATCTGTGTCTTTCTGTCTCTCTGTTTTCGAACTCATCGTAACAGAAAACGATCACTTTCGATACGTATGTCTGGAAGGTGAAAGAAGAAAATTCGCAAAAGACTAGACAAAGGCGGTGCGAAGCGATCTCAATGTTCAGCAATGAAATTTCGATTAAGATTATAACGAAAAACGATTTCACCTAAGATTGATTCTGTCTTGTCGAAATTTTTCATTGTTTCTGATCAAAACTAGAGGCTAAATCGTCAAAATTACTGTTTTACGAAACTTATTAAAGATGTATGAAAACTCATATTGAAAATTCAAAGCTCTTTGTATCATCTCGAGATATGGATCTCCCTGACATAGTTTGAATGAATTTCTAGCGACTCATCGTTTTCTAGAAAAGTTGTAGCAACAAACACGCACAGTATGGAGATCGAATGCGTATGCGACCGGGTATAAAAATGTTGTACTTCTCACCAGATTAAATAGGCGAGAGGAAGAATAGATCAACTTTTGATCGAAGATATTTTTTGAGAAAACATAGTTTATTCGATGCAGCTCTTTATACTAATTCGAAATATCGTATCTTGTTAGTCCATGGTTAAACTTTTTCAAGTTAAAATTTCACAAGATCATTCTATTTTTGTGAAAAAAGTGGCTTCCCTCGAGAGTGTTAAGACAAAATTAAAAGGATACGTTGCTTTTTTCCTACTGATCTGATGGTTCGAAACCGGCATGAAAAACAGTTTGAGCTCGTAGAAAAAAATAAGAAAATGCTGAATTCGAATAAAACAGTTTCAGCCAAGTAGAGCAATCTTTGGTGTTCAAAAGAAATGGTTTCTTTTCTTTTTTTTGCTAGAATGTTTCGTTTCTTCTTTTTTTCTTATTAGCTTAAGACACGGTCTAAAAAATGTAAAAATATATTAAAGAGTTTGTCAATATTGTAACTACTATTTTGACATAACCTAATGAACCAACAAAATGAAACAATAAATCTTTCATGAATCACAAAATAATTAATTCCATATGAAAAAAAATCTTTGCTAAAGTTTGTGGTTAATATCATGTATGTATAAATAAATTTTACAGCATTATTAAATTTTTCTCTCCGCTGAAATGTACTGAATGATTTCTAATCAAAATGACTACGATTTAAATAAGTCTATGTGTACTAGCTGTATGATAATAGAAATGAATATGCACTCAAAAATAAGTGACACAGATAGACATCTTTTGATTGTTTTAGCATAGACAATGATCGCTATGATCCAGCTGATTTTCTTTTCTATTTATTTCATCATATGATGATTCACATAAAACGAATCTATATTTTGAACCCTCGATTGAATATTTTATCATGCGTCTATATAGTCGTAGACTATAAGAAGAAGAATAAGTAAAAGAAATAAACACATTTACATTTACTTAACATAGTAGATTACATTCGAGTTTATAAATGCCTTTAAAGAAAGAGAAACATCATCAAATTTTAACTGGTGTTAAATTCCAGACAACACCTCTTGCTAATAGTACAAATACAACATTAAAATCAAATGAAAATGTTTCACTTACAAATACTTATTCTAATTTAACAACAACAGAAAAACAAAATTTAAATAATGATTCAATAAATAGTTTAGATCATTTAACAATTATTCGTGATCAAAAAACTGAACTTGATGAATTAAATAATCGTTTTTCAAATTATGTTATTGCATTACGTAAAAAATCTAAAGAAAATGATGATTTACAAAAAAAAGTTGATGTAGAAAAACAAAAACAAAGTAAAACTTTCAAAGTTTTTTTAAAAACAATCCTTTCTTTTGTTTTTCTTTTCTTATTTAGAAAATTTAATAAGTCAAGATAATCAAGATCTTGAAACAAAAATGAATGAATTACGTCATGAAATGGATGAATCAGCTGTATTAACTGAACATTTTATTCTTAAACGTAATCAAGCATTAAAAGAGTTAGCTTTACTTAAAGATAAAATTCGTACTGAAGAAGATTTTTCATATACAAAGCGTCGTCAAGCATTAGAAAATGAATATCAAGAAACATTAGCACAATTAAAAGAATTAACAAATCATTATGAAGATTTAGAAAAAATATCTCAAGCAAATAAAAAGGAAATGAATCAAATGAATGATTTATATAAAAAACTTGAAGATGAATTACATGATCTTATATTAAATAATATGAGACTTCAATGTAATCTTCGTACTATAGAAGAACAAACATTATTAAAAAAAGCAATTTATGAAACTGAAAAAGCTGAACTTGGTAAGAAATTTTAATCTTAAATCAAAAGTGGAGACAAGCAGGAAAAGCTTTCCTTCAGATGCTGTAGTACGTAGCTGCCGATATTTTTAGAAGTATGAGAAGCTTAAAAATCAGCAAAAAGACCCATCCGACAACCGATGACATGGCAAAATCTAATTTCGGTTCAATTTGTACCACGAAGCTGAAAAATTGGCTAAAATTGGGAAGCCTCGTCGGATGGAGAATCCTACTATAGAACATCTACTCTTACCTTACTATGAGGAGTTTTTATTTCATTCTCATTTAATTTTATTCGCATTGGAAGACTCTAAAAGTGATAAATAGTATCACAATAGACATGTACGGGGTAAAATTTTTTCGTACTGCGTACCGTTACTGAGAGAAATTTCCTAACTCTCACATTGTACATCTCTAATCGAAAATGACTTATCATTTCTAGTAGATAGGCAAAATCAGAATCCTTCTCTTCAGAGTCCTATGATCAATCTACATAAAATAATTGTCAAAAGCATCAAAACGTCATTATTTTTGGTTCTTCGGAACGAATTTATAATATTTTATTGATTAAGATCTGGAATTTTAATTGTCACTTAATAGTGACTAGATTCGATAGCGAAAGTCTCTATTTATCATCTTCCAATTTTCAATTTTTACTTCTTGAACTTCGACTGAATTTTTTCAGAGAAAGTGTCAGTCTTACAGTTTTCATTAATCTCGTTCCAATGTAAACTAAAGCTCTCACCATTAAACTAGTAACTGTAAAATGTAGACTGCTCTTGTCGTACTTATATCAAGTTATTCGAATTTTATAGGGCTTGCATTATATGTAAAACATTTGCAATTCGAAACTTCAGCAGAATTTAGTTTGAGATGCGTGAATAGAGCTGATCGAGTTACATTAGAGAAAGTATTTTTCAAGTAAAAACGAAACTTTTTTACGAAAGTTGGTATTTGGAGTCTATTTTCTCGTGCATTTGAGGATGATGGTATTTTCGACGTCTTTTTCATAAAATGCTTTTTTTTTATTTGAAACGCTTTTTTCTTATGTACCTCAATGAGTTTTATCAAATTATCCCAAAAAAAAGACTGCTTAAATTTTGAATTGTGAGTATTTTACATATACTGTAAACACGATAAGAGTCAGATGTCTCGATCTGTGTACACCAAATGCAAGTTAAAATTTATTAGTTTGACGATGAAGTTTTAATTTGATTCGAATGTCTCGGCGTATTAACTAACAACAAAAACACTTTCATAATTTCATAGAATTCATAAATGATATATTCTTTAAATGAAATAAAATATGTATATATCTTCTAGTCAATGAACAAATTAAACAAAAACAATTTTATACAAATGAATTGGATAAAGCTATTGAAGATATTAAACATGATTTTCAAACATTATTAAAAAATAATAAAACTATACTTGAAAATTCTTATACAGAACGTATTGAACAAATAAAAACACAAATATTAACATATGAAGCAAATAAACAACAAGAAATACCATCAACATCTCGAATATCAATTGAAACATTATATAATGAACTTAAACAAACTGAAAATGCTCGTCAAGATATTGAAAATGAATATCGATTATTAATCGATCTTTATATATCAAAACAAAAAGAAAAAAATCAAATTGATGAGGAACGTGTTCATCTTGATAATGAATATAATCGTTTAATAAATGAAATAAATCATTTAACAGACGCTATTGAAATTGGAAAACAATATTGGTTGTCTGTACATTTTGAATTAGAAACATATAGAAGATTATTAGATTTAGAAACAACAAAATCATCATCTAATATTATTCATACATCACTACCAAATGGTAAACAAGAAAATAGTCCTATTGAAGAACAACAACAACAACAAGATCAACAACATCAACAAATGATAACAGTCAAAAAAAATGATACACAACGTGCTATATCAAAAACTGGTGAGATGAAAATAACAAATGAAGAAGGTTCAATATTAATATGTAATATTATTTTAGGTAAATTTGATATTGATCAAGTTCAACCAGGTTTTATTTCCATAAATAATGCTTCAACAAATTGTGTTGATCAACCACTTAAAGGCTGGACACTTGTTCGTAGTATAAATGATGGGCCAGAAAGTGTTTTTCAATTTCCTGATTCATATGTACTTAGAGCACGAACACGTGTACGTGTTTATTCTAATAAAGCTGAAAATATGGGAAATAGTACATTACATGGTCGTCTAACTGCAACATCAATTCCAGCATGGGCTAGTACAGTTCAAGGTGATAATGTGAAAATTGTACTTCTTGATGAAAAAGGTATTAATAGAGCTCAATACAGTGAAACATGGCAATAAATAAACAGTTTATAAAAGAAAAGACTTAGATAGGTTGTTTTTTAACATTGTTTTGTTTGTTAGTTTTCTCTGCTTTCGTTTTTGTTTTGTTTTGTTGTAATGTGATTTTTTTTCTTCTTCTCATATTATTCTTCTTTTAAAAAAGTTTAGCAACAAAGTAGAAACTTACAAAAAGAAGAAGAGAAGATTTCATTATTACTGTTTTTCTTTTCGTTTAATAAAAAAAGCAACAACTTTATTTAGGACTTTTTTCATCTGATATAGTTTATATAACTGAAAACGATTATATATGTCGAAAATTTTGCATAAAAATTGGAGAATCGCTGCAACAGAAACTGTAGGTTTCTTTTATTTTCGATAAAAAGAAGTCTTTTAGAATATTAGTTTTAATCAAGTTTTTAGAATGAAGATCATGTTATTCATGAGTTTACATCGAAAAAAAAATGTAACTCTAGAAATTTTTTAACTTATTGGAGGCTCTACACGGTATGCGGTAATTATATGGATCTAATACGTTATAACTTCACTAAATAGTTTCTATGAAAGTGTCAAAAATCAATGATTGCATACTTCGTATATATACTTTTTACTTAACAGTGGTACTTTCTACTTGAATTGAAGTACATTTTATTTAAGTGCGCTTAGTATTAGTAATGTGCTTTTTTTCCGGATACAGTACTTGTAAGTTTTGCATTTTTCGTTTTTTCTTCTTTACATGAGGTTCCAAATGTCTTCTATGTATTGGACATATTTAAGAATTCCTACTTGTTATTAGAGTCATAAAAAAATTTAAAAAGTGGAACTATTTTTGTAATATTATTCAAGATGCCAACAAACATATGAATTCTATGGATTAAAGTATTTCTGTTGCATTTAATCTTATATGAGATAATGTTTTATTGTTAAGATATTATATTTCTTGTGTATTATTTTATCCGATACTTTCATATAAATTTTTGTTGCACAATTGAATGATGAACAATAGAAGAAATATTTCAGTAAAGAGTTAAAATTTTTATGAGTTTGAAGAAAATTACTAGTGGAAGAAACATTTGCGTTTTAGAGAAAGAAATCAACGAGTTTGAAATTGATAGAAAACCAACAAAAAATGTCTGATAAGAATAGATAATGCATATGAGAAACATGAAAAAATTAATTTATAACAAATTTTAATTCGAATAATGAGAAGATTGACACTCCATACCTACACCTCATAAATATGATGACAATGCAGATGTTACCTTCTATTGTGTTTTACCATCACAGATGTCATTAGACTACGAAAATATTAGGCACTAATAAAGAAATATTAATGAAAGCATAATATTATACTGTACATAGGTACGTTGTACTAAGTACATTTGAATTCAGTATTGATACTGGAGTGCAACTTATACTTAAGTACATTGGCATAAAGTACTGGTACTAAATACGATTGGACTTAAGAAAAATGTACTTAAATTCAAGTACAAAGTACAATAGTGAAGTAAAAAGTATTTATACCTAGTTTACTGGTATTGGTTCAATCACTGTCAATAATGACTAATAGGAGGTAAAGGATTATACTTTAGTATGGCATCAGTGAATTACTTTGTCTTCTTCTTCTTCTTATTATTATTATCATCAAAGCTGTGCAAATGTGTTTTGTGTTGAACTCTAAAAAACAACAACAGATGAGTGTCTTATCACGACTGTATAAATCCCGCGGGTTCATAAATTCATTCCGAATCATCTATTATGTCTGCAGCATCTTTATTGCGAAATAACTATATGGCTTTTTGTATGTATTAGTTATTGCATAATTCTTCTAAGTAATGTCAAAATTACGATTAATATTTATATATATATATATGTAAGTAATCTGAGCTAAAAAGAAGCCATTTGAATCAATTAATAATGTCCGATAATAATCTAATAAATTATTGTTTAGACAAAAATCATATACGCATTGATTATACAACATTAACACCCCGTTTTTCAGTAACTAATAATGATAGCCTTAATGATGGTATTACTCATTTAAATGAACATGGTTATGCTATATTTAGCGACATTATGCTTCAAGATGAAATTAATATGAATAAAGAATTATTATAGAATTTTCTAGAGAACATTCCTGGACGTCATATTCAACGTCATGATTCAACAACATGGTCAAATAATTGGTATAGAAAAAAAAATGATGGTCATAAAATGTTTTTTAAATGTATTTATTTAGGCCTGGTAATACTCAATTTGGTATTATAAACGAATGTGGTATTGGTCAATCTGATTTTAAGTGGAATGTTCGTTCAAATCGAAATATAAAACGAATTTATTCTCATATATGGAATACAAATGAATTATTAGTTTCATTTGATGGTTGTGGAATTTTTCGTAATTGATATTATGAACCAAAATGGAAAACAACGATGGGATGGTATCATGTTGATCAAAATCCTATTTTAAAACCTAATCGATGTTGTATATAAGGTTTTATTGCATTAACTGATCATAATGAAACAACAGGTGGTCTTATTGTTTTTCCACATACACATTTACGTTTTAGTGAATTAAATGATCTTGCACGTGGTTCAAAAGATTTTGTTGCAATTCCAAGTATGCATTCATTTTAGATCGAGGAAATGCTATAGGAAAATTTATTCATTGTCAATCTGATGATCCTGTTCTTTGGGATTTCCGTCTTGTACATTGTAATTCTTGTGCTTTTGTTTCTGATGAACGATTAAAAAATCAATCAATTGATTTCTTACGAATTGTTGCCTATGTTAGTATGAGTCCAACAACATTTATATCTAATCAAACATTAGATCAATTTCAAAAAAAAAGAAAACTATTAGCACAAAATAATTGTACCTTAACACATTGGAGTACTGAATTAACAGAAGCAAGTAAGAGGTTTCCAAACCAAAGAAAACATTAAATTGAAAAATCATTCTTTTTTATTCATTTAGGCTCTACTTTTAATTTACCAAAACTATCATTAGAAAAACTTGATGCATATCAACTTGCATTTATTATTGGAACTCATCTTGATGATGAATAAAAAAACATTTCTTTTCAAAATAATAATAACATTAATATACGTTATTGATTGCGAACATTTTTGCTTATCATTGACATTTTCTAATGCTCTCAAATCAAAATGTCATAATAAATATCTCATTTATGTATATTACCGTAAAAAAAGAATATTAATGAACCAGTTCATTTGAATAGGTTTTATGTGAAATATAACAAGAAAAAAAGCAAACCTAAATAATGAATATTAGCTCAAGTTACTGCTTATTATTATTTGCTAGACAAATATATGAGGTTTATTTAGTTCACATCTGAATATACAGAGATCAATGAATCTTATCGACATTCACATATATCTGTAACATCGTGTAAACAACAACAAATCATAATGGCCATGACAGTCATGTAGTGATGATTTTCTTTGACATCGAATAGTTTAAGATTATTGAATATCTCCATCACTTAAAAGAAAAACAATAAATGATAATCATCTATAGACACATAAATCATGAGTATTGTTTTATTCATCTTCAAAAGTGTACGTGAGTCAATGGAATGTTTATTCACATATGTTTCCAAAACGAGAAAGTGAGAGAGAGAAAATCAATCTTGTTAGAAGTGATCATTCACATACATTATAATGCATACAAATTGTTGTTCTTGTTGCATAATCAATGCCATCAGATTCGAGTATCTCGAGGCGATACATCTCTAGCAAAAGAGCATGTGATGTACCATCATCGTCTAAACACACTAATAATACTCAATATTCATCAAATGAACTGTGTCGTCATATAATCTCACAACTGTCAATCATCATAACCATTCCAAAAAGAAAAATGGTATTGTTCATTTAATTTTTATTATTGCCAATAGCATATAGAACAGATGTCCAAGTAGTCAATTGTTACTACAGGTAAAACACTTCCTTCTGATTGTGTTAGCTCAAATATAGAAAAAAAAACGAATAGAACAAGTAATTAGCATCGTTTTCTAAGGCATAGTGAAGAATGAGGAGAAAAGAAAACAACGTAACCGTATGTGTGCGTATATATGTATCACAAAATGATTATCTTTCATGTGATTTGTACAAACAACATTCGGCGGCACACGAGAGAGACAGAGAGAGAGATTCTCTTGCAGTCTCTCCTATACGTATATGTGATGTAAACGTTAGAGAAAAGAAAGAATAAGAGTAATGCGGAAATTCGACACGATTATCCGCAATCATCACTAGACCACAATATTATGAAGCATACAAGCAGGAATCTATTAGCACTCGTGAGTGAGCAAATCATTCACTTTAGTCACTATAAATGCAACATCAATATTGTTCATCATTATTTTTAAACTATATTTCTTTGACGTATTAACACTCTAATTCATGTCAACATTCATCTATTATCAAAATTTCTATGCATTAACACATGACATTGAACAATTCGATCAATTTTGCTTTTGATCATTTCAATAGAGGTTTATACCTCAAAATATATTTTCTTTTTACATAATGCAAGTATATACATACAGTGGGTACTAAAATTATTTAACAAAGATTATTTTCAAATATTTTGTTTTGTGTAGCCGTGAACAGAAAAAAGGTTACAAATAATGATTCGAATATACGAACTTGTTTCTAGCAGAAATATAAGGAAATAAAAATTATTATTTGGTTCCCAAAAATAGGAAATCTGAAAAACCAAAAGGTTAGTTTTTCTATATTTAGAATACTAGAGTAAATAGTTGTCTAGAAAATGAGATGTCTTCAAGTTTTCGACGACGTTTTCTCGCTGAGCTACAGCAATCTTACGAAAGCTTCTAAAATCATTTTTTGACCTTCATCAATCAAATTGCTGTATCTCAGCGATAAAACATCGCAGAGAATTCAGAGACATTTCATTTGATGAAAAATTGTTTATTGTAGCCTTTTAAATGTTGAAAAACCAGGGTTTTGGTTTTTTTGGAGTCTGTATCTTTGCAAATTTGATAATAATTTTTATTTCTTTATATTCTTCTTGAAAATCATTTTCTCAATATGTGAATTTTTTCTAGCGCTACGGCAGCGGAAAATAGCTGGAAAAAAAATTTTATTGAATAATTTTTGTATTTACTGTATATCATCAATAGAATATAATAAATTTATTTTAGAATAGTTGATCATGTATAGAAAGAAGAATGAGTAAGTGAAAGGTCTATTAAATGTACTATTGAACAAAATAAATAGTTTGTCTATTTCAGTACGAACGAGAATCAAACGATAACAGACATTCTCATGATGTGTGCAGTTGATGAGAAACATTCACTATATTTGATAGTTGATTGATTGCAATAGAATAATGATAATGAGAGGAGGAGACGTACTGTGCGACAGGATTACCGCCCACACTGTTCCAATCATACTACTTTCAATTAGAATATTTTCTATATGTATATATATACATAGCAGCAAGTCTGCTTATTGTTTATAAATCGATACAATTGACAATGACCACCGACTGAGCAGGCTATAAAAATCAAATGCATATTAATCGATCTATCCACTTTATTAATACTTTTTATTTTTTAGATGATGTGAAATATTACACATGCCATGCCATGTTTATTCGATTGTTTCTTGTTTATGTTCACATTCTTGTTAGCCAAATATTGGCTACTTGTCCATATATTCGTACATCTGTTATATTAGCTGAATGTGTATTTGATACAAATCTTTATATAACACTTGGTGCAAATATTCTTAATTCAAATTCAATTGATTTTATTGGATATTATTCAATTGGTCAGAATAATAATATTAATAATACACTTATTTATAACTTAGGTAATCGTTGGATGTTACTGGTACCATTATTAATAAAATGTACTCATCAACCGGTTAATTTGACATTTACTGAATGTCAATATACAATGAGACATAATAAATATCCTAACCGATTCTTATCAACAGCGGAATATATGACAACTCAATTAAGTGTTATGAATATAACTGATCTTGGCATGCAATCAGTTCTTTTTTTACAACCAGGTTTGTTTTTTTTTATTAACTTTTTGTCAGTGAGTTTACTGTAGGAAGAAATATCAATATTTGAAACTCACAGACAATGTACATACATATATGTATATATACGGATGATAGCCAGAATTAAAATACACTAGAACAGAGAAAACTTATTCGAAAATAACAAGGATATTACACAAAAAATTGATAGTTAGCGTCGACATTCATTGAAGATACAACAAAACAGTATAGAAACAACGGGTGTAATTCGAGGAAGAAAGCAGCTGAACGAGAGTACAATACAAATGATAATTTCAGGATATATTTGAAAATGGTGGATTCATTGATCTACAGAATTGTCTTTATTATTAGAGTTTTATAAGAGACTAGTAGCGTAGCCTCCAGGTCACTAGAAAGAGATGAGTCTCCAAAATGAATGGTATTCCTGTCGCTAAAGAATCACTTTAGTTTTATAGTAGAAATTTTCCTCCGCTAGCTATCCTCCTAATGAAAACTCTCAAGCTACGTCAAATTAAAAGACATGCTGACGTGTCAGTAACTAATTGAATTAGAAGTAGAGCCCGTCACATCTAAAACTTTCGGATTTAGACAAACCCGACAGTCTTTAATCAGAAGTGATGTATATATATATATGCTTCTTGTCTTGAAGAAGTTAAAATAAAATATAATACTTTTTTTTTCTTTTAGGAGATATTTCTCTTCGTTCATGTAAAGCTTATGATTGCTCACGAGAATTAGTTTATTTAACAGCATCGAATGAGACATTTAATTTTAAAATAAATTATGAAAAGCCAATCAATACTAAATGTCAATATGATGAAGATTGTCAAAATTCATATTCCATTAAAGATCTTATTCATTGTAACAAATTAACAAAAACGTGTGAATGTTTTAATGAGAATATATCAAATATTGATATAATAGGTATTGGACGTTTTTGTACAGATTCAATTGATCAAAGTAATTGTACAAAATTTCCGAGACGTTGTTTAAAATGGTGTGATAATAGTGAAACATCACATTGTGTTTGTCCAAAATTAACACGTAAAGTGAGAAAAATTAATGGTGTATTTGATTGTGAATTAGAACCATCAGGTATATGTCGATTTGATGATAATGAAAAGCAAAAAATTGGATCGAATATAAGAAAATGTCCAACAGGTAAAAACAAAACAAAAAAGAAAAAAGAATAACTATAATTTTATTATAGGTACATATTGTGATGGTAATAAATGTCGCCCATCAACAATAACTCGACAAATTCATGAAGAATTATTCAATGAGCCTTTTCTTTCTTCAATACCACCACCACCACCACCACCACCATCAACAACAACATCAATTTATAATTTATTATCTTCAACATATAAACATATTAATCGTCAACATCAAACAGCAGCATTTATTCGTACATTAATTGCTATAGCAATAGCTATAATATTATTTTTTATTCTTGTTATACTTATTATTATTATAATTATTAAATCACATCGTTTTCGTGTATCATCAAAATCATCTGATGATAAAGTTTCATCATCTTCATTTGCTCAATCAACATCAACAGCTACATCAGCTGATTCACCAACAAATATTGATTATCATCATCAATTACAACAACAACCAATATCAACTGTAATTTCTTCAAATTATGGAAATTATTTAACAAAATCAACATTTGTTCATGGCCTTGTACCACAAACAAATTTATCACCTAGATTTCATCGACAACAAAAAACAATTGATGAACGACGACGAGTACCATTACATATTCGATCACCATCATTGTCACGTATTAATCCATTTATTGATCATGCATCATTAACAACAAATGAACACTTAACAAAAAAACGAGCACCATTACCTAAAGTAACACATTTACGAAATGGAGATGTTATTATATCGGCATAGAAAAAAAAGCTTTTTTTCTTATTCTTGTTTATTCTTACAGAATATGTGTGTTTTCAGCTTTGTATTATGTATTCGATATTAAAAATTATTTATATCAA